TTGGAGGTGATGATCAAACAGGAAGTTCTAATACTAGGTCTTCATGTGCTGTAATCCATTACCTTCCCCTCCTTTTTGGGGAGAGACAGCCCACTTTGGATGCTCTTTTTTGAGAGACTTGTGCTTCCATTGCAGCTGCCCAGACTGGGTCCTGTCCATTCTGGCAGTCATGTGAGATATTTTTGGGCCCTTTTGTCAGTGTTTCTCTCACAGAGTCATGAAATAATACATGTAAGTGAGCTGTTCAGCACCTATTAGGCTGAAGTTGAGACTTGCTGCAGAGTGAGAACATGGAGGGTTTGTTCTCCTCTACACAGTAGATCTAGAAACTTAGTCACACCATTGCCTGACCACATATAACTGAGGTGGTTGTTTTCTCAGGAAAATTGTTTCCTTTTCTTTTGTTTTGTGTTTGTTATGATTATTTGGCTTTGTACTTTTGGGCTTTGAGGAAAGGTTTTGTTTTCCAGAGTGACCTCAAGCTATAAATGGCCACACTGCACAATGGCCAATTTTATAAGTGAGGGTCATAGTGAAGGTTTTGTGGATATGTGACTAAGCACAAAGAGAAACTAATACGTGGAATCCTTGAAAATTTGGCGCAACCAGTTAATCTACAATAGTAATATGTATTTATGTTATTTGCATATATGTATGCACTATTAATTGCAAGTATGTACGAAATGTTATCTTTACACATCCTTTGTCAAAAGGCATTAATATTAAATCTGCATTTTCATTATAAAATTATAGGAAAGTTTTTAAATAATAAAATGTTGAAAAATATATATTCCAGTAACCAGCAAAATATATTTACATTTCATATTTTGGTGTACTCTTTCCCATATTTTCCCCCATGTATAATATTTTTTAAATAGTCATGATCATGTTATATACACATATGTCATTACACAAAAGTTTATAAACCCGAGGATTTATTTTTAAGTTAGAAGTCTAGAAAGTACAATTACCTGGTCAAAAGTTTTGGATATTTTTTAGGCTTTATTGCCATCCTGGATTTCATGTTGTTGTTCCGAGTTTCACTCTCATTAGCAATATATGAAAGTACTAGATAAATTGCACTCTAACCCAGTCAGCATTCATTCAAGAAACATATATCGCCCAGCTCCTATTTATCTAGACCCTGGAGATGTAATGGTGAGCAGTATCGTACATTTCGATTTTCTTCATGGAATTTACAGTACAGTTTGGAGACAGATGTCAATCACATAATTGCACAAATAAATGTGAAATTCAAATCATGAATTATAAAGCAAAATACTAATACTGGTTAACCTCCATGGTGGGTACATAGATGTAGGTTGTATTATTTCCTGTAACTTTTAATGTATTAAAAACATTTCAAAATAAAAGAATTTTGATGTTTTAAAAATGAGCAATGCCTATGAAGAATGCTGCCATGAAAGTGTTCAGAGGAGGAATCTGAACTCATCTGAGGTGTCAGGGAAGTGCCCCAGAGGAAGAGTTGATGGAGCTGAACTTAAGAAGGAGGAGGTGGAGTTAAGTATGAAAAGATGTATGCATGTGGGTGTGTGCGCACAGATGGGCAAGGAGGCATCTTTATGCAGGTGAGCATGTTTGAGACAGGGAAGATTAAGGGGACATGATAAATGTGAGAGATTATGGGATATTTTCAGGCAGCTCCCAGTGACCCAGGCTGGGCTACGTGCAGGGGATGGCTTGGAGCAGTAGCAAACCAGGTGCGGCAGGAGAGATGGGGCCCCGCTGCTGCAGGGCGTGTGAATAGTCCACGGCATGTTTCTGCATCTGCTGGATTGGAATGGGCACACTGCAGGTGGGATGACCACCTAGGAGAGGCCAAGAGGGGCTGAAGTGCTGCTGGCGGTGAAAATAGTACGGAGGGGAAATAAGGGAGATTGTGAAGGCAGCATCTGCAGGAACCTGGCAACTGTTTAGGTGGAATGACAAAGGCAAACGCGGTGTTGATCTGAGCCTCTGAGACAGTTCACATGAGTCATCGAGTCAGGGGTACAAGTACCTTCTGGCTGGAGTTGGTGGAGGAGGGAGAATGACACTAGACCAGTTTAAGCCTACAATATTAGATCTGCAACCTCGGTGAGGATTGCACGGATAGAGATTTATTGGAAATGTGGCCAATGGCAAAGTGGGCAGATCATAGGAGAGATTTTCAAGCACTTTGATTCTAATTTCATGTTATTGTTTTAAATCACAGATTCAGGTCCAAGTATGCAGGATTTGGGTTTAGATACACCATGGTTAATCTTTAAAAACCTAGTTGAAAAGAAAAAATAAACAAAATTGATTTGCATTTTATTTTAGGTTTTTTAAAGCTTCAGGTCAATTGTTCAACTTCCAGAGGCCACAGAGTTTAGTGGTTATGGGGGCAGGATCGTGTTCAAACCCCAGCTGGGCACTTGTCAGTATTGTGTTCCTTGTCAATGACTCCATCACTCTGTCTCCACTTCCTCATCTTCAAAGTGGGCTTCCCGTTAAGTAAGTCGTGAGGAGTTCAATGAGTTAATCCTGCGATGTACTAAGAATAGTGCCTGGCACCTGAGAAGAGCACAATGCTATTATGGTTTCTAAAGAGACAACATCAAATAATGTGAAACTAGATACATAGTTACCAATGTTTCTTTGAAATTTAGTGAGAACTGAAAAACACAGTTTTGTATTTTGCTTATACTTCCTTATCAGAAATCAGGTGTGGTCAGGAAGAGCTCACTTAGCCTTATGTCCTCCAGTTTCATCCATGCTGTCACAAATGACACAATTTCCCTCTTTTTTAAAGCTGAATAATATTCTGTTGTATATAGATACCTCATTTTCTTTATCCATTCACTCACTGATGGACCCTTAGGTTGTTTCCATGTCTTGGCTAATGTGAATAATGCTGTAGTGAATATGGGAGTGCAGATATCTCTTCAAGACCCTGATTTCATTTCCTTTGGCTGTGTACCCAGAAGTGGGATTCTTGAATCAATTGGATTTGGTCGTTCAATTTTTAATTTTTTGAGGAAACCCCATACTATTTTCCACAGTGGCTATACCAATTGCATTCCCACCAACGGTGTACAAGGATTCCCCTTTCTCCACATCCTTATCAATACTTGTTATCCCTTGTCTTTTTGATCATAGAAAAAGCAAAACAGAAAAAGTGTTCTTTTTGTTTAAGTGTAAGGGAGCTTGTGGGGGTTGGGTGTCTTGTACTGCCTTGCCTGACCTACTTAATTCAAGTCCAGAAGATGTAGTAAGCTAAAATGTAGAATTTAAAAGTAAGTCATTCAGAACATGAAGGTTTTACAGAAGAATTGTCAATCTCTGAAATCCTCTGTATGTCCTCATGACAATTAAGAACCCACCTTTTTACCTTTGTTCTCTTCTTTTCCATGCCACTTATTTTCAGGGAGCAGCATAAATAAATTACAGCATAGAAAAGAAAAGGAACCCTTGATACTTAGAGAGTCAGTAGCCCAGTCAAATTTTACTGAGTGATGGGCAGACTAAGGTGCGAGAATAATTTTTCCACTAATGCACATCTTAGAATTGTGTGACTTTTAAAGGTATATACTACAGAATAAGGAACATATGTCACACAATTCCAATAATCACTTAGATCTTTTTTAATCCTAGCCTTTTAGAAGCATCTACATTCTATTATATTTAGTCACACTGATGTGATGCTGTGGTGTTCATGCATTATTCCCCAGATTTTTTCCATTCTCATAGAATCTTTGAAGAAAATCTGTGTACCATAAAGTCATTTTTCAAATTATTAGTTATATCATATGTACATAACAATAGATATTGACATTCTCTTTAATTTCTTGAGCATTAAACAAAAGGCTAAGGGTATTCTGGTTTGGAACAGCCTTTTTTTGGCATGTGTATTTTTTTTGTGTGTTCACCAGTTGGCAAATCCACAAATTTTCTGTCAATTACAAGATGGTAGGCTTCATCGTTCTGTACCATTCTACTGTTTTGATAGCATGATCTGATCGCATTTGTATGTCCCATTCAGCAGCTGTGGAGAGGTGCCAGTTACCCTGGCGAGGACTATGTTGTCCAACATCAAATCTAGTCATGAGATGGGGATGGCCTTTGAAAAGCCACATGTAAATATTTATTTTCAAAGGTACAACTGGCCCTTTGTAAAGCCTGGGTCACTTTAGTGGTTATCTTTTCAATGAATCATCAAATGAGAAGTCTGTTACCATATAACTTCCCCTTTTGTTTTAATAAGCTTCCACTGTCCTCTATCCGTGGCCCTTTTGGTTAAGAATCAAAACCATGTTAAATAATTTCATTTTCCTTTTTATAAATTAGTTTAATATGTCTAGTTTGTCTGGATTATGGCCACACAGCTGACCTCACATAGGTTTGTTGTGCCTTACCCTGAGCTCAGAAATCAACTTTCCCATTTTTCTATGGGTCATGCATAAGTACCAGATGCTTCCATGCCAGTTAGGGTGACCCCTTTACACATCAAAGAAACCTTCCCCATAATGGGTTTTTTCCTAAGAATGCATATCAAAATGTTAGTTTGATTTAAAAAAAATACAGTTTTTTCACCTTTTGGGATTACTTGTCAAATTAAGTAAAAAGAAAAATCCATTAAAAAGCCTTTAGTAAGGTTTCTTAGAGCCAGAAGTTTGCCAAACTCTTGTATGGCCGTCCTGAATGATATTAAACTAATTAGTTTAGGATTTAACTAATAATTAAACTAATAGATTCAGTAGCTTAATTGTTTTAATTAATCATTTAAATCCACACATTAGTTTTATAAAATGACCCGTTTTCTGCAGCTGACAAATGCAGCTTCTGACCTTCAATGATTAGTATATGCCAGGTTTGATAAATACAGAGGAATCTGGGAGACACAGAATCAAAGGTACTACTTCTATCAAATGCCCTCTTCTGAAAAAGAAAAGAAAAGAATCAGAAAAAAGAAATAAGAAACTCTATTGTGACACGTTGTGAGGCTTATGATAACTATGTTTGCCTTTCAGATCCCCAGCTCAAGGGTATAGTGACCAGGTTGTATTGCAGGCAAGGCTACTACTTGCAAATGCACCCCGATGGAGCTCTCGATGGAACCAAGGATGACAGCACTAATTCTAGTAAGTGACAACCCAGGCCACCCGTTAACACCGTTGGTAGAAGATACGCTGCTACATAAATGATTTTTTGGACTGCATTTACAAATATTTGTTACGTTGGTTTGTTGGTTCATTTTTACAAATGTTACACGCTAGGGTGCCATTCACGATTTTACTTGGACCGCATGGATGAAAACATGAACAGAGTAACACAAGAAGCCTGCCATTTTAAGATAATTAGTTTCTCTCTCTCTCTCTCTTTTTTCTCAAAACAATTGGCAGATCCAGCATTGTTGTTACTTTTATCTCCTAAAAGTCAAGTAAGTACACTAGTGCATTCGGATGTAAGATGAATCCATGTTTACCTTGGGAATATTTTCATCAGGTCTTTAGCTTTTTAATGATAACTGTGGAAATTCAAGAGCTATAAGGATTAGTTGTTTCAAAGAATAGAAATGTAATTTTTCAAATTTGCATTCAACAAGAAAAGATAGTATCTCTTTTATAGAGAGGACATGAAGGCTCTGTGCCTTTAAATACATTGTACAAAATGTTTTACTACTTTACAGAATTGGGTCTGTAATGATTTGCCTTTAATTGAAAAGCCACTGACCCTCCACTGTATTAGTGTCTGTCTTCATTTCACTGTTTTTTAATATATTAACTTTTCTTTGTATTTTCATTCTGATGTCCCTCCTTATTCAATTGTCTGTGTTTTCTTTCCCATTTTCTGTTTATACTGGCATTGGATTCCTTTTAATTTAGCATATCAGTTCTAAAATAGACACTTTCTCCTGCGCAGGAGAATTAATGAAAAGCAAAAACTGATTTTATTGGAAATATTTTTCACATATTACTAGTGGATCAGGAATGGATATGAATCTTTTCATCCATTTAGCATTTACCCTTTATATAGAGAGCACCATACCATGAAAAGAAGAGAGGATTTGAATACATAAGACCAAATTATAGGCACTTTCTGTTTTCAATTCTAGTAATCAAATTTTCAATAGCATGGAGAATAGCTAATAACATAAAGTAGACTGCTTTTCATTTGGTGTCGCTATGTGAAATGTCAATATTTTCCCAGCCATTGTGTTTACTTTTTAGACTTTGGACCTTGCTTCATTTTAAATTTTTCTTTCAACTTTAAAATTTTTTCTGTGTGTCTGCGTTTTCCTCTCTTTCAATTTCTAATCTTTTTCTTTCTTTGTGTCTACTTTGTTGCCCGTTTGTCCTTTTAAACTTTTCCCTATCATATTTGTTCATTGATTTTTTTGTCGTCATTTCCTTCTTCTATTTAGAGAAAGAGAAGGTAAAGCAATTCAAACACAAGGAAGAAAGAGAAGTTATTTTTACTCATAAGACTGATTGTCAGCCGTTGTTTAGTTGTTGGGATTTTGCTATCAGGTTGAACTTTTTAAAAGTATAAGGACTTGACCATCTTTGATCTGTAAAAATGTCAGTTTCTTCTGGTTCAAGCTAATACATGTGTGTCTGCTCATTTTCTTCTATCTTTAACTCCTTACCCATTTTTTGACAAAAGGCATTCTCTTTTTCTTATGTCTTATACTTGTGGGGGTCAAGGACTCTCGAGATTCAAAAGTTCTGATGTCTTCAATGTTCTCTGATTTCCTTCAGCCAAAGTCCAGGGGAGCGTGAGGACTAGTTTTCCATAACTGATCACTGCAAGAATTAGGACATTCTGATTTAGAGGTTGAAGCCATCCCTTATGACAAAGTTTTCAAGAAAGGAAATAAACCATAGCTATATGAAAATGCTGCTTAGTTGGACTTCTTAGAAAAATAATTTCTTTCAAAGGTTTTATGCACTTTTTCCTACCTCCTTCTTTGGTTTTTGTAATGCCAAACAAGTTGGTTGTTTTTAATATGGAAATCAATACTGAATTAAGAAGTGTTAGGTAGACACTGTCTTTTACATCATATTGCTTCAGAACTCAATAAGCAGCACAATATTTTCTAAACTGTGAAAGTGCAGATGTAGACATTATATGCATACACACGTAATTATATCTGGTTATCTGAACCATATTCAACACTACACTGGAAAGCTGAGATGCTGAAAGAGACACAAACCTTCTGTTCTCTAAATGTGTGAGGTTTCTTTTCTCCTGCTGTGTAACCGTATTAGAAGGAACAAGAATCTTGGGGCAACACTTGGAATCCTCTCTAATCCCCCTAAATGCTGGTGAGGACTGATGAGGGAACAGGAGCTCCTGTGTCCAGGCAAACCAGAACCAAGTCATAGCGCCTGAACTCAAGGGGCACTATGCGCCTCAGCTGCTTTTCTTACAAGTTGTGTTGCATTTTATGTGCACGTTTAGCTAGTTAGGTTAGTTTTGTTACCATTTCAACATTTGCAAAGACATAGCAGAAGAGAGCAAAACAGGGTGAGGTAAAGATTCTCTTCTCAAAAGCCTATAAAAATTGTATGACTCTAAAATTTAATAAAACTTGGTGGGACTACAGCAGGTTTATAAAAGTCATGAGAATTACTAATTAACTCGACTTTTGGGTACCATCACCTTTGCAATTGAAAACCATAGTTTTTTTTAGGTGAAATTTAAGATGATTTCCTTTTCTCTGGTTCATTACAGCAGTCTTATGAGTCTTGAGAAAATCATAAGCCGTGAACAGTATTCTATAAAAAGGGGAGGAGCACTAGAGATGCTGGCAGGAAGGTCCTAATGGGAGCATTGCCCTTTTGGTTTGCATTAGGGTGTGATGTAGTAATTTATGCATGCATTCCAGATTTTTGATAATTCTTTGAATACAAAACAAGGATTAGTCATCTGTAAGTAGGAAAAATAAGGAGAAATGCTGTAAAAGTCACCATGATGCCACCCTAAAAGTTACCAAATAACAAAACTGAGGCTTGAACCTTCAAATCTTTGTGATGAGTTGGACACATACCACACAACTAAACACGAGCTTATTTAGAACTAGGTAAAGTCAGAACCACCCTACTAAGCTGCCTTTGTCAAAAATTTTCAGATGAGTGGAGAAGAGAGAGAAAGGCCAGCAAGCAGGTGAGCCCGACACTAAAGTCCTCCCTGGGTTTTCCAGCCCGAGATCTAGAAATCTCTGGGAGGAAAAATGGCAAGATGATGGTTGATGATGGATGATTGGTCCAAACAGAGAAGATACTGTAGCAACTTGACTGCTTACTATTGGCTTCCATGTGCCCTGGAAAGATCTTTCCCAGGAAGAAATGAGCACCCAGATTACTACATCACCAGACTCATTTTCAGGGGTATATTCGTTTAAAACTCTTAGAGCTTCCTATCTATCTAATAAACATTAGCATTACCATGAACCATGGCATTTGGTTAAGGGGTGATTTTCTTTTCCCCCAGTTGCTTTTGGGGATGCCATGAGGTTTTCCTGTGCTCTTAAACTTAATTGCTCCCATTACCAGACTTAATAAAAGCTACAAGTGGAATAGGACTATAGAAATATCAATATGCCAGTAACTATGGCAATATTAGAAACTCACATGAACCAAGCCCTCTCATCTTAGAAATTCCGACCTGATAATTTGATGTGTAAAAATTGCCCATCGCTCACTGTGACCACCACCCCCACAGGCCTTGGGATGGTGGTTTTCACTTTGACTGTACTTTAGGGTCATTTGAGGAGCTTTAAAAAAATTCCTTATGCCCTAAACCCTATCCTCACTTCCAGAGATTCTTACTTAATTTAATTAGTCTGCAATTGGGCATGGCTGTCCTCTTTTATGAATACAGCTAGTTTTCAAGTATAGCCAGGGTTGAAAATCACTATTATATGGAAAACTAGAGTCCCACAGAACAAACAAAGTAGCATGAGCATCTTATTCTGACTCCCCTAGGCTTTGTGACACTGCTTTATAATTATATAAAATACAAAAGGAATGGAAAAATATGATGATGTCTCAATCAATGTGGGTATCTGTAGTTTTAATTAGCACCATGGATTCATTATGGTCAGCTCTGAACCGGCTTCCACATGACAGTGGTTATATGAATTCACTTTGTATTATCATTCTGTAAATGATAATAACTGACATTTTATCATTCAGATCCCAACAAAATCCTAGAAAAAAACACTATTTTTTGTATGGTCATTTTAGACTATCATTTATAATTTTTCTCTTTCCTATACCACGTTGTTCTGGTGACTTCGTATGTTCTTACTTTCTAGAATTATAACATCTGGCCTATATCAGATATATGGCACCTATAAAGACCATTAAGAGTATGTAAAGATTAGAATAATTAAGTTTGAAAGGGCTAGGTTAGAATAGTTTTCAAGGACAGTCATGCAATTATGTTTTTCCTCTAAAACTTTTGCGTATCAATCAGAAATTGTTCTATGGTGCCCATCCTTTCAAAATACAAGGGAGATGGGACAGTTCAGGTGTTCGGTCAAAAGTGGAATTGGCCATACTGCTCAATGATTCCCACTCATGTTTATTATTTCAGTAATAGAAGTGAGCAAGCATAAGCCTCATTCTTCCATAACATAAGCCCCTAGAATCCCATGGAAGATGGCCCAATATTAGTTTGCTTCGTGAAAGCTAGTAGCCACTGAACCATATACACTCCTCTGAGTATTCCTATAGGGATAATTATCTACGGCCATGGCCCGCCATGTTCCTTTCATCACAGACATCTTGAGATCTTGGGATCAGTAACATATAATAACTGAAAGAGAAGGTATAATTTTCCCCAGCCTATTCTGACAATGCATGTGGTGCCTCAGAATTAAATAGAAATGAATTTATAAAGTCCATTTTTAATTATGTGCTGAGTAGACCCATAGATTGAAGTCAACATGGCCCACGTTTTCCCAATTATTTGTCTTTTGTGGAATACAGTTGAGAGCCTAAACCTCAGGTATTTTGTTTACTTGTTCACTTCAGCATCTCAATGCTGTCGTTGTGTGTTTTGGCCTGGTACAGCTGCTTGGAATTAGTCTTCAGTTAAGACATTGAATGGGAGCAGATCAGAGCACTGTGGATAATTAACTTCTCTTATAAACGTATCTACACTAAAGTCCCCCAAACCATCAAGCAGTTATTACTAAGAATGGTGCTAGAACACCTACTGAAGAGTTAACATATAACCCTGGCATGGAAATGTGTTAAAGGAATGTTAAGACTTTTTAAGAAATCAATGATAACATTACTCTCTGTACTATGTAAAAAATATATAAAAATATTTTCCTTGTCGATAAGGGAAGAAACGGAAGATGGGACTATAAGTGAGTTTTTATCTCTTAGATGGGTAAAAGTGAACACTTTTCCCGCTTTTATTTTAGTTATCACTCACAGCTCTATGAGATATTAGTAAAGAAATGTCTCTCTAAAATGTTCAGTGTGATTAGTTCTTTCTGAATTGAGCACATTGGCAGGCGCACGTCTTTTCTGGGCTCTGCTGGCATCTCATATTGGTTCAGCAAGAGTAATTCCATTTTGGAATTACCTTTTTAACTTCTGGCCTGTCCTACATTGCAGTGATAAAGCACACCTTCTGCATGAAAGACCTGAATAAGCATTCAACTTGGACTTCTTAAATTCCACTCTTTGAGAATCTTCACATCTGATCTCTTTTGGTATCAAATGATGTCAAAGACTGTGATCCTGGAATTGGGATTACAGGCCTGATTCTGTTTATTAGTCTATCACTTCTTTGAAATGCTATAGGCAGACCATTAAGGTGTACAAATTGAAGCTCAAGTGCTAATTTTACCCATTGCAGAAACATCTTAATTATAAAGAGAAATAAAAGTTAATTGGAACTTCTCAGAAGGTTGTAACAAAGATGTTGTTGTTGTTGTTGTTGTTGTTGTTTTAAATAAAAGAATGAGGGAGGGAAAAGCGATGGCAAGGCTTTGCTTCTCCAGGTCCATTTGTGACAGGCTATGTTTATCTTTACAGCACTGTTCAACCTCATACCAGTGGGACTGCGCGTTGTTGCCATCCAGGGAGTGAAGACAGGGTTGTATATAGCCATGAATGGAGAAGGTTACCTCTATCCATCAGTAAGTAACATGCCAAAGATATTGGCCATTCATTCAATGCTTGCAGTAGCAGCAACAACAAAATGAAAAGGATCTGTGTCTATTGATTCTGCCACTTTTGCTTTAATATTTGATCTCTACTACAATGCTGTAAGGGCTATTGATTCATTATTCATCAATGTTTGATAATAACAGTATATCAAGCAGAAGAGAAATATTACCTCTTAAAGTTGTATATTTGCATATTTTTTAAAAAATGAACTAGTTTGTAGAAAATTGAGTAATTTTGAAAGAGTTGATGTTAATCTTTTTTATTTCTCTTTAGAAATGTACTTGTCTTAGAGAGTTTCTTGTAAAAGATTATTTTGTAAAAAGAAACAGAATTAATGTGAATTCTAAAAAAGAAAATTTAAAGAGAGTAGTTCTTTTAAAACTAGGAATTTAGGTTGTGTTAATGTTTTACTGGGGAAAATACTTCTATTATAAAATGTATATTGCAGAATTTAAATCTAAGTAAGTCTTTCTGTTTTGTGTTAATGTATATGAGAAGTTGAGCACATTTTTATCCATATGACTTCTGGAATATTTACTATTTACAAATAATTCATATTCAGATGTGCTGTATCCATACATTATAGTGTAGTTAGAATTAATTTCTGCCACAGAACCAAGCAATAGAGACCTAGATGAACCTATCCTTGGAGCAGAAATTGACAGGTTAAATTCATGGTGCCTCAAAGAAAAATGTTCTTATTTGGGTTTGCATGCCATCTTCATATAAATTCTTTAAAACTCTGTTGTGGGAAATATTATCATCAAAAAACTACATGTAAACATATATACGGACATTATACACACACACACACACACACACAACTTAAGCAGAAACATTCCCTGGGGCATTTTCTTGAGCAAATCTGGGAAATCCTATCAAAGAAAATGAAGTTCGAGCGGCGGATTCCCTCTGCGGTGAGCTGGAAAATGTTCTTGTTATTCTGGAAGCTTCATCTGAGTTCCCTGAAGGGTGTTCTTGCACACAGACCTGGGCCCCACATTAGGCATATTGTGTTCTGTTGCACAAGATGAATATTCAACATACCAAGAGCAAGATCCAGCTAGAATTCCCTGTCCCCCGCCCCCCCCCCCCGCCTTTTAGGAAAAATATGATTCAGATAAAGATCACTTTCTGGAGATGCCTCCATTCAGATACAAGTCAATTTTATTGATTTGCAATTTGTTCTGTTATTTTTGTTTCTTTCTTTTCCCTCAGGTAATCTTTGAGATGTTTAAAAATTATTAGCTGCAGCATCCGCCATAGCTTCTGGTTCTCAGGTCCTGTTAAGGATTTTATCACATTGTTTGTTGTGCTCTGATACATGTGTTGATGTCAGGGGACATGGGAATGTTTATTTTATCTTTTTGCTACTGAGGGAGGTGCTTCCTGTTTTTTGTGGTGAGGTAGCACATGTATACCTTTTTTTTCTTTTTTAAGGTAGGGAAATCATCTTGAGCGTGTGGCAGGAATGGAAGTGAGGAAGGCACTAATGCCCAGTCTATGCAGTCTATGCAGCCTCCCGCCCAGGTATCAGGTCTCAGGAGGCTAGCTGGGGGTGACACCATTGGCCCCTGGATTTGTCTCAGTAACAACTTCAGGCTTGTTATTGACCCGTCCATTCTCTATTCTCACCTGCCCTGGTTCTCCAGTTCTTTGACATCTGGGCCTCCCTTCTGGTGGCTTGATTCCTGACTTATAGATGTTGGCTTTCTTCTCTTCCCATCTTGATTCTGCTTTGAATCCAGGATCTGGTAAAAGGCACTCTATCTGCCCATCCCCTACCCTGAGAGGTCCCACTGCCTATGCCAGGCCCTTACAATCCTCAGCCATCTCATAGGAAAAGGATTTAGATACAAACCAAATGCAATTTCCAATCTTTACTAATACTCCATAGTTAAAGTGCTTTGTTTATTTCAACGTAATGAAATGTGAACTTCAAATATTTCAGTAAAAAGAATATGCTTTTATAGTCAATCATTTATTTCATAATTAGTGAGTGTTTACTAGAATAATAATGTAGCATAACAGAATATAACATTTACTATACTATATAATAATAATAGGTCTACTTATGTAATAATAATAATAATGGCTAGTATTTATATAGTACACTCTGCCCAACACTGTTCTAAGCATTGTACAGTCTTACCTCATCTAATTCTATTAAGCAAATACTATTAAAACAATCATACTGGGGCATCTGGGTGACTTAGTTGGTTGGGCATCTACCTTCTGCTCAGGTCATGATCCCAGAGTCCTGGGATCAAGTCCCAGGATAGAGTCTTGGGATCGAACCCCGCCTGCTCAGCGGGGAGTCTGCTTCTCCTTCTGCCCCTCACCTCCGTCATGCTCTCTCTCTCTCCCTTTCTTTCTCTCTCAAATAAATAAAATTTAAAAAATAAATCTTAAAAAAATAATCATACTGATACACAGAGAGTTTAAAAATCTGTGCAGTCTGCCAGTTAGTAAATAGAGAAGGCAGGATTTGAGCATTATTAGTCTGACTCATTAGCTTACTGTTTCACTATACTATTTCCATGCGCCAGACATTTTTCATCATATGGTCTGGCACCTATTCTAACAAGAAGTTATAAACACATGATGATGTAATGAAAACCTTTAAGGAATTGTTACCTAGGGTACAAATTTCATTTCAGTTATTAAGAAGTATAATTTGAAACATAATCCCTTTCCTTGGAGATTCTCAAATTTAAAAAAAAATCATAGAAAATTACATCTGGGAAAAGTTTGATGTTATACACTGTTATATACTGTTTAAGATTCTGAAAATTTCTTACATGTAACACCTGCAATTTAATTTTAAAAACCATGCCAAACATAGTTAACTCAACTAAGAAGTTTTGAAGTAAGTTGAGGAGCTTTAAAAGGAAAACCTCAGTCCACCTCAGGTTTAAAAAAAAAAAAGTAATAAAGACTTAAGTCCTGAAAATGAAGGAATCTGTTTTAAGCTAATGCCCACTTTAAAAAGATCAACGTAATGTTTGCATGGTATAAGCCAGCGCCTAATATGGGACCAATTTTTTTGAGGATCCGTAGGTTTAGAAGGTAGGCAATAAAACACTCGGATCATTCAAAATGAATTCTGTTGAATGAAAAACACATCAGTGTTTTGACTCAAGGTGCATATTTCTCTGTTTGCATTGGGGGTAAATCTCATAAGCCCCTGCCATCCAAATAAAGATATTCAATTTGTCAGATAATTTCACCTGGGGTGGGGGTAAGGGGGGGGACAAAAAAGGTATCTTGTCTGAAATGTAAATAACCACAGTTCTGAGGCTGAAGGCACATGTTCCCCATGGAATCTTTCCTTTGAAATGACAGTAGTCATTTCTTGTGTGGTCATAATGATTCTAATATGTTCCTTGAAATGTATCTCAAGAGATTTAATGTCAGATATCAACAATTTGGTCAAAGGTAGAGCACAGGATGCAAGGTCGTCGAACAGAAACTGACAAGGAAATACTTATGTTAAAGAATTAGTTCAATATAATGCTTGGGAAAAATTGTATTTTGACCAACTATAAACTGTCTATAGTGCTGTGGGGAGCAATTTTTTTCCCCAACAACCTGTGATTTTGAAAGACTAAGAAAATCCTCCATAGAGAGACACGGTTTGAATGTAAATTCTGAACTCTGAAGAAAAACTTAGGATGAAGGGAAAAGAGTATTCATCATTTGGGCAAAGAGAAAGAAGAGTTGAAGTCGGAATGTGTTTCTGATATGAGCAAAGAAAAAGGGGAGGGGGAGGAAGGAAAAGAGATTGATGGTGGGTAGAGCCCTGGGCTTGCTTGGAACACCTGGGTCCCGGATCCTGCCAACACCGGTGTTGTCATGCCCCCGACTCTGCCTCTCAAACTTCTCATCTGTAAAATTAAAAAGTTTCCTGGGAGGCTTTAAGTTAATTTGGGGGTTGAAACTTCCAGTTTTAGTCTGATTGGTTTTTTTGAATGATAAGGTAATCGACATATGTAAGATGTATAAAGATCCATTATTGTTGTCTTACTACGGGTTGACATTTATGAGAATATTATATTCCAAATGGTGCTGTAAATGTTTCTGTTACCCACATGCAGGCATCTGGGGAGGCAGTCAGCCCTGGTGTTCTCCCGAGATTAATATTTCATCTGAGTTTCTTAACCAAGTGATACAAGTAGAGAGGAAGGCAATCCTTTTTCATGCGGGTTTTTTAAATGAATCAAAAAAGTACACTGCTACTGTGTTTTGTAAATATTTGGGCTCATTAGAATCACCTGGAGGGGCTACTGGGTGGCTCAGTCGTTAAGGGTCTGTCTTCCGCTCAGGTCATGATCCCAGGATCTGGGATCGAGCCCCGCATCGGGCTCCCTGCTCCGCGGGAAGCCTGCTTCTCCCTCTCCCTCTGTCCCTGCTTGTGTTCCCTCTCTCGCTGTGTCTCTCTCTCTGTCAAATAAATAAATAAAATCTTAAAAAAAAAAAATCACCTGGAATGGAGGTAAAGGCAGATTCCTTGGATCAGACTCCAGATATTTCAATTCAGTAGATCTAGCAGGAGCCCCAGGAACCTACAGTTTAATAAGGATCCCCTACTGCCCCTACCTGCCCACTGGTGGATGAGTCAAAAGCCCATAGCCTGACAATCAACAATGACACAGTGAACATTACAATGGCTGGTGGGGGAGAGGATGGTAGCTTTAGACCAAGGTAGTAAGAGTAGAGTTGGTGGATAGACTACCTAGGCACAGAACCCAACCTAAGTACTTGGTGTTCCTAACGTCCTCTGCCCCTAAGTTGAAGTTTACAGAAACGTGAAGCAATTCTGTAGGCCTCTTCACTAATGCAGCAACCCAGCTATCAATACGCAATGAACGTGGGGCAGGGGGAGGGATGAAACAGCCTTTAATTCAGGAAAATAAGGAAAATGCTGTATATTCTGGAAAAAGCATGTTCAAGAACCTCAAAGTCTTAT